TGATTACCAATCAGTCGTTTACCAACTCCTGGCTCCATCAATTTTTGCACTAAATTTGGCCGTATTTTTGCAAAAAAAATTCTACAATCTTTTAGAGTGCTGCATTTCTTCAACAGTAGCTAAATCGAGAGAACAATGCGATCTGGACTCGATTTTTTTGTTATCCATTAGCCTCCAAATCCAATATAGCAATAAGTTAGTTGTCGACAAAAAAACAAAGGTGATTTCTTCGATTTCTTCGATTTCTTCGATTTTTTCTAATCTTTTCCCAAAGTCTTCTATAGATTTTCCTTATCGGTCTTCGGCCTCAATGCCGGAGAAAAGAATTTTGTGCAAAATTTCCCCTCAACATTATAGCATCACAAACAAATGATTCGTTCTTTTTTTAAATGTTATAAACCGTTTTTGAATGATAAAAGCAGATTTTGATTTGAATTTTTGTTTTAAAGCTTTCTAAAATTTAACAAAAACATGTCTGTTGAATCGATAACTTGCAATTTTGTATCAATCAACATCAAGTAAAATAGTGATCAACTCGGCTCGACGGGGTGCACTAATCAAGTTGAATGAATGTTGCAGTTGAATCAACAACAATTGCAACTTTCTGGCAACTTTCTGGCAACTTTCAACAATTGCAACTGCAACAATTGCAACTTTCTCGCTAAACTTATTTCCATTTCATAGACATTAACTTGTTTGTTTTTTTTTGATTTCATTTAAAAGTAAAGAAAGAGTTTTTTTTTGGGTAAAACGATGGTCCACTACAAGCTGCACTATTTTGCTTTGTACGGACGAGGCGAGCCGGCGCGACAACTTTTCGCTCTAGCCGGTCAACCCTATGAAGACGTGCGGATAAGTATGGAGGATTGGCCTAAGCATAAAGCAGGTGAGACAAGAGATTGTAGATGGAGAACATATCAAAGAACTATAAATAATGTTTAAACTTTAAAGCAAAACTATTAGCTTAAGGCTTGAGGCCAAACCAAGCCTAGCCTAGCCTAGCCAAGCCAAGCCTAGCCTAGCCTAGCCAAAGCCAAGCCTAGCCAAGCCAAGCCAAGCCAAGCCTAGCCTAGCCAAGCCAAGCCAAGCCTAGCCTAGCCTAGCCAAGCCAAGCCTAGCCAAGCCAAGCCTAGCCAATTATTTTGCCAATTTCCAAGAAGTTCCAGTCCAAGCCAAGGCTTTAGGCCAAATCCAGGTCAATGCTATTTGGCTATCCTTGTTTTCTAGCTTTTTGCGAACTTTGCTTCCGTGGGCTAAAGAATTAAAGCCAAGCCAGGCCTCTAAAAAAAATTAGAGCGAAAAAACTGTTTGTTTTTGAGAAAACTTTGAAGCGGCGTAAATTTTTTTCTTTTTATTTAATCTTTCTAATTAAAAAAATTTAACATAATTATCAATGATTCTGCGTTGAATGATACCAAACACTTGATGGTTGGACACGCCTATTCATAATCAGCTGAAATCCATAGTCGGCTACGCCGATTTTGAATGGAACTTTGTAGCGCCCGCAATTTTTAACCTAAACTCACAAATTTGCTACCAATTGCTACCAATGATAAGATGCTACAGCAAAGTTAATCTTTTTTAGAAATGCCTTATGGACAAGTTCCCGTTTTGGAGGTGGACGGCGAGTTTCTCCCACAATCGAATGCCATCTATCGCTTTTGGGAAGACAATTTGGTAAGAGAAATTTATTGTATTGTATCTAATCTATTGTAATTTATTGTACTATTGTCTTTATTGACTTTATTATACTTTGCGCTTGAAATATTGAGTTGACGAGTCTGAAATTGGCTGCGTTTTCGGACGAACTTTTGACAAAAAACTAAAACGATAACTTTTTCTCAATTTTTTCTAACAACAATTGAAGTTTTGGTGATTAAATGCATTAAATGATCGAAATCTAATGCAAAGTTTTTGAGAAATGGAAATGCATGTGCTAAAGGTTGATTTTTGACTATCATTTAACGTGTACCGTATTTTCTCTAATATTAGGCTGGCCGGAAAGTTCTTTCCGTTTTTGACGCTAGATCGTATGGATTGATTGAGGAACGGAATCCCCGGAGTTTCCATTTCTTTCATCAAACAGATACCGTAATCTAAAGTTGATTTCTTTACTTGCAAGAAATATATTTATACTTTGATCTTTATAATTTCTTGTGAGACCGTGCCTCGGCGTGGTTTAATGGTGGATGTCTTGAAAACGCACAATTTATCAAAACTTTCCCTTATTAGGGTAAATTTCGCTCAAACTTGTGCAACCTGGCACTATCACAATTATTAGGTTGACCAGAAAGTTGTTTCCGCTTTTTGACGCTAGATCTACCCTTTTTATTTTACGCATCAAAACGCCAAATAAAAAAACAGAATTTATCTACTCGAAATATTCACCGTCAACATCAATAACATCCTGCCACTTATCCGGCAACAAATAGATTCCGCGGCGGTAAAACTCACGTGGCTTCGAATCGAAAAACTGAGCGAGTGACAAGCGCATTTCCTCGACGTTTTGAAAGATCTTTCCACACAAATGACGCCAGAGACCTGAAAAAATGATAATCGGACGATTCTGGACAAAATACCTGAACACATGATAGTCCGGTTTTCGAGATTTCAAGGAACTTAGGGGACGCTCTGGGTGCACTACTATTAGAGAAAATACGGTATTCTTTCTTTTCTCTAATAGTATTGCCCTCTCCCCCTCCGCTTGGCCGAGCCGAGTTGATCGCCATTTTACGGTTTCCAAGTTTTCACAGAAGCTCAACACTCTAATCCCCGGCAAGATCTCATCGTCAGCTACATTTTTCGACCCCACATCGATAGGTTCTGATAAGCGGTTTACGAGATTTCAAGGAACTTAGGGGACGCTCTGGGTGCACTACTATTAGAGAAAATACAGTAGTCAAAAATCGACTCCATTTCTGTAAAAACAGTTTGTAACAACAGCATACTCGACTAGCATCCAGTTAAAATAGGTATTTTATAAGATAATAAATCAATTTCAATAATAAAAAAAAGACAAAAAAAGAGAAAAAAGACGTGTCTAAGTCCATAAAAATATCTCATCAATTCTCAAAAAGTCAAAAAGTTCTTATTTGAAAATTTTTAGTCAACGAAAAGCTTAGTTTAAGTTGGTTTTGGCTAACATTTTTGTAAAAACATATTGGCTTAAGCGGCTTAAACATATTGGCTTTTTGAATCTAGCAAGTTTTTGCAAATTTTTAGCTCGCTTTCAAGGAAAAATTAGGAAAGTTAGGAAAATTTTCTATTTAAGGTTATGCTGGAGAGACTGAAATCGAGGCGGCTCAAGTGGACATGATTGGTGATCTTTTCCAGGTCCTTTTTCAGGAATATTCAAAAATTAAGAATAGCTAGAGACAAAATGACGATATATTTGATTGTATTTAGGATTACTTTAACGAGTACCGCGAGTATTTCACCGTCGCTGTCGGCTTCACCCAGGGTGACAAGGTTAGCAGAAAGAAAACAAGAAAAGACAAAGCGTTTCTGTGTGTTTCAGGAGTTTTTGTTCAACTCGGTGATGGTGCCAGCGAGAAACAAAATGCTCCGATACCTCTCAAACATTCTCCGATCGAATGGGACCGGGTTTTTGGTGAGTCTTGCTAATTTGGTTGGCTAAAGTCAAGCTTAACAATAAGCTATTCGAATTCTACCATTGTCAAATCTTTGCTTTTGGGTTTTTACTTTTAATTTTCTTTAAATCTTTGTTAATTTTAAATAAATTAAATCTTTAAATCTTTTTTAATTCTTTGCAAGCAATCTTTGATTACTTCGCCTGACTTCTAACGGTTAAGCCTCTTATAAAGAAGTGAAGGAATTGACATGAAAAATTAGAAGGGATCTGCTTCCCGGGCAATTGCTCTAACCATTGAGCTATCCGGTAGCTTAACTTGCCAAGAGAAAGAGGGAAGAAGGGGAAGAAGGGGAAGAAGGGGAAGAAGGGGAAGAAGACTGATCACAGTATCAAGAATGACACTTTGAATTTAAATAATGAGTTCGTTAGTTCAATTCCAGAAATTACCCCTAAATTAGATGCGTTTACAAAGAACAAATTTGAAGGTGAATTCGTAAGTAGCGCAGTGGATCTGGATCAATTCTTTCAAAACTTCGCTTACCAAATTATGAGCTACCAGTAATTGGATGACCAGTAATTGGATGATGAGATAAATAAGCATTAGATCATTTCGTTGTCAAGTCGTTTTCAATTGAAAGCAATTGCAATTGCAAAAAATTTCATTTCGAAAATTTTCCAGGTTGGGAACTCGGTGACCTATGCCGACTTGTTGCTTTCGATTCACACCGCTGGAATGGAGGGGATTGCGCCCGGGTTCTCAAACGATTTTCCTAGGGTAGATTTTAGAAATAGAATCTAAAACTCAAGAATTTGATAGATTAAACTTAAAGAGCTAGAAGAAAGAAGCTTAAAATTGATTTCAAAGTTGAGATCTTTGATCAAAGTTGAAATCTTTGAGCAAAGTTGAAATCTTTGATCAAAGTTGAAATCTTTGACGCTGGAGATCTTCCTTTTCGACGTTTGAGTCTTGAAAACGATTTGTGAAAAAATTATAAAAGTTTAAATGATTAAGAGGATTTTAAGCTAGGTTTTTATTAAACTTTTCAGATATTTCAGCTCAATATTTCTAGATCTTGGAGCACCGTGAGCGAATCGAGTCAATCCCGCAGCTTAAGGAGTACCTAGCTCATCGGCCATTCGCTCCATTCTAAAGAGTTTTTTTTTTAAAGAATCGTATTTCTTTATAGCTAGTCTTTAGTAATTTTTGTTGGACTTCAAAAAACGAATAAATAATTTATTGTTCATCATCATCATCGACAACCTATACATACAGTGACAAAAGAGATCTATCGAAAGCTAGAGGGGAATTTGAAAAAGGGAAAGATTTGGGAAAGGTAAATAAGTTATCGATCGATCGAGATGGATGTCGGTTTTTTTGTCGGATGGCGAGTTGAGGATGGTGTGTTTAACCGCGTTTGTGGTGTTTGCGGTGTTTGCGATGTTTGCGAGCGGCGCGGGGGTGCTTGCGGGCACCTCGGCGGTGAGCACGGCGATGAGCGCGGATGCGACGGTGGAGGTTTCTGCGGTGAGCACGGCGTTGACGCTAGAAATTTGAGAAAATTAGCTTTCTTTTTGTCTTCCTGATAGCTTCTAAACTTTTGATACTTCGAAATACTATAGCTAAATTCAGAAGTGAGTTTGAAATGAATTCAATCTCATCTCCGAAATCTAATTTTCCTTGCTATCCCTTGACTTCTTTATTACAAAATCGAGCTTGACTACAAGCTGCTTAAGCTTAAAACCTAATTGAGACCTAAAACTTTGTTTACCTGGAGCTTAGCACGGAGAGCACGACGGTGCTTGCGGATCTTGCGTTGCTTGCGGATTGAGCGGAGTTTGGCGATGCGGGCACGCTTGTGAGCACGCTTGCGTTGAGAGAAAGAGACCGATCGGGTGTGGCGTCTCTGGAATTGATTGATTAATTTACAATTTCAATTCTAAATCTTCACCTTCTTCAAAGCACGACGGTGTTTGCGGTTGGCGTGCTTCTTAGCGACACGGCGGCGGTGGACGCGACGACGCTTGATGAGCGCGATCGTTTGTGGGCCTTGCGGTTAGCACGGCGGCGCTTGAGGAGAGCTCGTTTGTGAGCACGGCGTTTGCGGAGTTGGTGAGCCTTGCGGTGAGCACGGTGCTTGCGGACGTTACGTTGACGGCGGTGGACACGGTGTTTGCGGAGTTTGCGGTGGTTACGGCGGCGACGGATGGAGGCACGCTTGTGGGCACGGCGTTTGCGAAGCGAGCGGAGCTTCTTGTGAGCACGACGTTTACGGAGAGCGGCCTTCTTGTGGTGAGCTCTGCGCTTGCGGATTGAGGAGCGCTTGTGGTGAGCTCTGCGCTTGCGGAGTGATGAGCGCTTCTTGTGGGCTCTTCTCTTGTGAAGAGACTTCTTGTGTCCCTTGCGGTGTCTGAAAGTTGAGAAGGATTATTTAAGAGTACAGTGGTCTATTTTTCCGTACAGTAGACTATTTTTCAGTAGAATAGCTTACCCCTCTTCTCTTCTTGTGATGACGGCGTTTGATGGCATGACGGCGCTTGTGGTGACGCTTGCGGAGTGGAGAGCGAAGTTTGTGAACGAAAGATCCGACAAGATTTTTCTTCGCGGCCCTCTTCTCACGGATCAACTCAGTCTCTGAGGTGGCTACAGCCGAATCAGTTTCCTGGAATTGATTTGATAATGGATTCTTGTTCATTGCTCGATTACTGGACTGTACTAGAGCTTGGTCTAGTGATGTACTATAGCTAGTCTAGTGCTGTACTATAGCTAGTCTAGAATCTAGAGCAAGCTATCATATTTCAAGAATAGCTAACTATATTGCAGTTTCTTGCAGACTATGAGTCTATTGTAGTAGGCATTGTATCAGAAAATCTATTGTAGTAGGTATTGTATCAAAAAGAAAGCTATAGGAAAGTGATACAAAGCCAATAGTGAGCCAATATTTCTATAGTTAAAGGGATATGCTAAACTGTAAAAAAACTAGGAATAATAGAGATTATAGTGAAAGAGTACTGTAATAATGTAGAAAATGCCAACCTTCTTCTCCTCATTAGCATAGACGGCGAGTGCCACAAAGGGCAAGGCCCAACAGCAGGAGCCACGTCCTCATCTAAAACTCTTAAGTACTGTAAGAAAGCTGTAAGTGAGGTCAAAGAACTCAAAGAACTCAAAGATTGGTAAAATGCTAGCCAAATGGCTTGTTGTTTAAAGGAGAATGTAAAAGTGAGTGTAATAGCTGAGACAAAATCAGCGTTTATATATGGAGAAATGGGTGGGAGGGCAGGGGAGGAGTGGTTAAAAAACGTGGGGAGTTTTTTTTTTAGAAGAAGAGGCTGATGAAGAGATCTATTGAAGGAAAGGCTAAAAGCGAGTATCGTTTACCCTCTCTTTCTTTTGTCATTTCACTTATAGTCTTTAAGGTGAATGCCAAAAAGCTTTAGGCTTTCAGCAAAAAAGGCAAAAAGGCAAAAAAAAGGCTGTGAGATGCCATTTCGCAAAGCAGATAAAAGAAGTGCAGATTTTGAGAGAAGATAGAAAACTGTCGCGCACACACACGGGTCGGCGGAAACATGAGGCTAAGGATCACTGTTCTTCTGCACGTTTTCTTGGAGTTGAAAATGGAATGGTGTGGTGACATTGGTGCAGTGTGTTGTGAGCTTTTATGACCGAAGAAATAATTTTTTTTTTCTTTGATCTAGAACGACTCTGGTTTTTAGACTTCTAAAGACTTTAGAATTAGAACTACGGTAGCTTTACAACTACTGTAGCTTTAGAACTACTGTAGTTTAGAGCTACTGTAGTTTAGAGCCACTGTAGCTTTAGAACCACTGTAGCTTTAGAGCTACTGTAGCTTTAGAACTTCTGTAGCTTTAGAACTTCTGTAGCTTTAGAGCTACTGTAGCAGCAGAAAAACAAAACTTAAATCATTTATTAGTCTTTTTGAACACATTTTTTCATATTCAGAGAGAATATCTCTAATTTTTAAGAAAACATAACCTAAAGACACTTTCTTTTTTCTTTTTTCTTCCAGATAGCTCGTATTTTTGAGAATTTATTGCCAGCCGGTGAATGAAATCGAAAGAGAATCTTTTCGGGTGTCGATGCATATCAGAAAAGAAAAAAAAGCCTAATTTCTAGGTTTAGATCCCTGGTTATACCAATCCCGAGGGAAAGGGGCCTAAGGAGACCGATCTTGGGAACCAGTTCACCATATGGGTGCGTTTACCTACAGCACACGGTTCAGGGAAGATATCCGTGACTCATCTGCTGGATTCGAACCAGAGACTAACCGATGACGTCTTTTTTTAATTTTTAAGAAAACACAGCCTAAAAGACACTTTCTTTTTTCTTTTTTCTTCCAGATAGCTCGTATTTTTCAGATTTTATTGCCAGCCGGTGAATGAAATGAAAAGAGAATTTTTTCGGTGTCGATGCATATCAGAAAAGAAAAAAAAGCCGGTTAGATTCACTTTTTCTTTGGGCATTCAATGATGAACCTATTTCATTACTATTATAGACTTATAAAAGAAGATTTGCTTTTTCTAATGATTACTTAGAGTTACTACATGGGTGTTTTTCTAGAAAGAGCTCTAGCTACAGTAACCCATAAGTTCCAGCAGCTACAGTAACCTACAGTAACCTACAGTAGCCCTGGAGTAACCTACAGTAACCCACAGTAACCTACAGTAACCTACAGTAACAGTAAGTACAATAAACTCCTGCTACAGTAACCTTTGAAGTTCCAGCTACATTAATCTTTGAGTCTGTACTCTGTAGGTTACTGTGGGTTACTATTAAGATCAGCTACAATAATTTTGAGTCGAGTTACAGTAGTTCTTTAGTTCTAGTAAACATAAGCTTCAGCTACCGTAATCCAGAACTTTAAATAGAACTTCAACACTGTAACAGCTACAGTAACATCTAAGAGAACATTTGTTGAGCTTGACTTTAATCAAGTTTGACTTTTGTCTTTCAAATTTCAATGAAATCTCTGATCATTTCATTACTATTATAAACTTATAAAAGAAGATTTGCTTTTTCTAATGATTACTTAGAGTTACTACATGGGTGTTTTTCTAGAAAGAGCTCAATGAAATCAATCAATGCCAGATTCAATGCCAGACTATAATCTCATTAGTGTCTAATAAAATCGAAATGAAATCTCACAAAATGATATTAGTGAATCGATTGTCAACGACGATGTATCATCACAATGAAAGTGAACCCAATAAACGAGCGGAAGGGGAGAAAAGAGAAGAGAAGAGAAAAGAGAAGAACTCAAATCATTAAAAAAAAAAGACAATCCATCAAATGACAACCATGCCACAAAAGAATGGATTTGACATAGTCGATGGGATTGACAAGGGGAATTTTGGCTGATGACATGGGGTATTTTATTTGAATAAGCTTGTTGGATACTTGTTGGATACTAGAGTAAACTTTAGTTGAGTACTTTCGTTGAGTACTTTAGTTGAGTGCTTTAGTTGAGTACTTTAGTTGAGTACTTTAGTTGAGTACTTTAGTTTATCCAAAAAGATCTGCTTCCTTTCCTCGTTGTCAACACATTTTTTGATCTTTGAACAGCTATTGTTTTGAATTTTACTCAAATTTTACTCAACTTGAAACTTTATAGAAAGTGCTTGCTTGTGGATTGCTTTAAAGCGCACTTTTCTCAGCTATAATTTATATCGGGGTTACAGGTGATTTATTTTACACTTCTGCACATTATTTTACCAGTGATTTATTTTGCACACACATAATCACAATTTGCACATTAAGACCTAGGGAATATTTTATCGTTTGTGAGGATTGAGACGATGTAGAAGACGATGTAGAAGACGATGTAGGAGACGATGTAGGAGAAGATGTAGGAGAAGATGTAGGAGGCGATGTAGGAGACGATGTAGGAGAAGATGTAGGAGAAGATGTAGGAGGCGATGTAGGAGACGATGTAGGAGAAGATGTAGGAGAAGATGTAGGAGGCGATGTAGGAGACGATGTAGGAGAAGATGTAGGAGAAGATGTAGGAGGCGATGTAGGAGACGATGTAGGAGAAGATGTAGGAGAAGATGTAGGAGGCGATGTAGGAGACGATGTAGGAGAAGATGTAGGAGAAGATGTAGGAGGCGATGTAGGAGACGATGTAGGAGACGATGTAGGAGACGATGTAGAAGATGATGTAGGAGGAGAAGGCTACACGCTTTAGCCTGCGCAGAGCTTGCGCATTAGACAAGTCTACCCATTTGGATCCCTGGTTATCCCAATCCCGAGGGAAAGGGACCTAAGGAGACCGGTCTTGGGAACCAGTTCACCACAGTTTTGTGCGTTTACCTACAGCACTCGGTTCAGGGAAAATTAACATTTGTATAATTTAACATTTGATCAGAGTCGATTAGATCAGAGTCGTAGCATTTGAGATTACTTGAACTTTTGACTGATCATTACAATTAGACTCATAAGCACAAATTTAATGTTGAGCTAATTGTGGGCTTTTATTAGCTAAAAAGATAAATAATTAACATGAATATGAACGTAAATAAAAGGAAAACTCCGGTCTTGGGAACCAGTTCACCAAATGGATGCGGTTACCTACAGCACTCGGTTCATGGAAGATACCCCTGACTCATCTGCTGGATTCGAACCAGAGACTAACTGATGACGTCGCTTCTGACGATCTGACGGATCTGACGATGCAGATCTGACGGGATACCGTGTTTCAACGTGGTGAGGCCGTAGCTAGTCTCCAAAAATTACTAGATTAGATAGAAGGTTTGAATTAAGTTTTACTCTCTGCCTAAGTTGATTTAGGTTTAGCTCAGGTAGTGGACTTGGAAGAAGCAGCGAATGTGAAACTTTTAAAACAAGTGACTTAGTTTACGTTCTAGATCCGATGCTTGTTCTTGTTTAGCTGTAGGTACTCCTTAAGCTGCGGGATTGACTCGATTCGCTTGGGGTGCTCCAAGATCTAGAAATATTGAGCTGAAATATCTGAAAAGTTTAATAAAAGCCTGGCTTAAAATCCTCTTAATCATTTAAACTTTTATAATTCTTTCACAAATCAGTTTTCAAGACTCAAACCTCTTTTAGTGTTTTACCTGTTCAAATTTTTGACATGTTTAGCTTTCATTTTTCATTTTCACTTAAGCTTTGTGCTTTCATTTCGTTCAAAACTCTATATAGCCTTTATAGAAAAGCCTTTATAGACTTATAAAACTTATATAACTTATATAACTTTATATAAAATGTTTGTGAATAGTGGAAATGATTATCAAAATCGAAAAACCTATCAAAACTCAGTAATTCAGTCAATAATTTTTGATCAACACCAGAAAAGCAGTTGAACAAAAATCGTGATCCTTCAAATGTTCTTTTCTTTCTTTCTTTCTTTTCGGCATTCTTTTCCTTTCGCATTGCCACGGTATGGCAGCATGGCCTGGATCGAAAAGTGAGAATAGAATTGAGTCGAATTTCCTCTCCTTAAAACCTCTCAAAGAACAAACGAACTTGAAAATCGAACTTTTTTTGTGTTC